GGGGTCCCCACTGGGGTGCCTGGCCAGTCTGGGTGAGGGGCTGAGGGCTGTTTTCAGGCTGGGGGTGACTGAAGCTCCCAACTGCTCCTTTTTTTCTTTTTTATTCTGGGCCAGCTTTAGCTTTGAGGCTTGGCTCCAGCTCTTAGGCCTCTGCTGCTGAAAGTAGGTTTCTGGCCTTTGCTTACAATGTTGCCATCCTGCTGGTTGAAGCCGGGCACGGACTAAAGCAGGTTTCTGGGTTTTGTTTAGCTTCTATATTTGTTACATAGTTTCTTAAACTGCAGGCTCAGAGGCCTGCAGTGGCAGAAGGGGAACGTTGGAGTCCTCCGTCACTGAAGCATGCAAGCCTCATGTTAGTTTCAAGCCTCCTGGCTGCCGGCCGCCATCTTGGCTGGCAGTTAATTTGCATATCACCCCTTAGCCAATGGGAATGGTAGCGGTTGTACGCCAATTACCATGTTTCTCTTTTATTAGATAGGATATTGATAGAAGAAATGTAAACGCTGGATACCTTCCCTTAGCATAATACCTAATACAAACGCTCAGCACATATATGGACGTGTGTGCATGCTTGCGTGCCCTCATGCATGGGTACACAGTGGAGTGCTGTTAAATGTTAAAAACTGACTCCCTAAGGAAAAAAATTTACTCTGACTTGTAGTGTTTGCTGATTTCCATGATGGAAACACTCCCATTGTGGATGATTTCACATCAATGTAAGTCCCAGCTGAGGACAGAAGTGTATAACTGCTTCTAATTAGCCATATTGAACTGGCCCCGGTATACCACAGAATAATATCCATATAGTCATATACACCAAAAACTCAATTATTTTGTGTGTATGTGAATACGTGAATATGTGTGTGTTTACATGTACTATTATATGTCTGTTCATGTATATACATATGCATGTACATAAAATCAAAATTCCTAGAAAAAGACCTGGAAACACAGATATCAATTGAATTACAGGGTTTGAACATTCATTGAATTGTTCACCTACTGCTTATTTATTGGATCAAAATAGAATAAATATTTTTTCTTATTTGAAACATTCTATTACCCAAGTATATTCTCACTAATATTAAGCTCCAATATGACATAACAACCAGCTAGATTAGACGTCATATTAAACAAAGAAAAACCGTCTGAAAATTATACAACTTACTTTGGCTTCAGTTTCACCCCTGTGAAGAGTGTATAGATGATGGACAGCACTTTGTGATGAGGACCAAGGATGAGTCAGAATTTGGAAGACATGAAAGTCATGGCCAAGGGTGTCTGTTGTGACTAGAAGCATTCCTGTAGGACATACAAAAAAAGGGTAAAAATAAAAATGATTATGCATGTTAATGAAATATTTTCACAAAGTACTCATCATGCTTTAAAATATTATCAAAGAAAAAATTACCAGTGATATGTGATTTAAAAACCTTAAGGCCATGTCAGTATATAATAGTGATATTACTTGTTTTATGATGTTACCACACAATTAGCAGAAAAGTTTTATATGTATGAATTTAGAGCATTCACAAGTATTTTAAAATAGGCAATTTAATCAACTGAATGTGAAAATAATTGGAACCTACTCCCACCTTTTGCCATTTCTCAAACCTGAATGTTAAGCTCAAATTTATCTACTAAAATAGCTACTAATACCCTACTTAACTCACCAGTTTAAAACTTTTTCTCTACCCTGGAATATTTATTGAACTGCCTACAGCAGTGGTCGACAAACTGTGGCTCGCGAGCCACATGCAGCTCTTTGGCCCCTTGAGTGTGGCCACAAAGTTTCAATCACACTGTACATGCGCACCCACAGGTGGTATTTTGTGGAAGAGCCACACTCAGGGGGCCGCAGTTTGCCGACCACTGGCCTACAGTATCACAGAAGTTTTTTATGTCTTTTCATCAAAATTTGATAGTTTATTTTACATTTAGGTCTATCATCCATTTGGAGTTAATTTTTGTACAAAGTGTGAGATAGCAAATTAACTTTTTGCAAATGATGTGCAATTTTTCCAGAAAATTTCTTGAAGAGACTATTCTTTATCCACTGAATTCTTTATCCTTTGTTATCCAATGTCAACATGCCAAAGGTCAACTGACCATATTTGTGTACATCTTCCTCTAAAAATGCATTTTTTTTCAGGTTCTTTTTTTCCCCCCATCACCATAAAAGTACAATTCTATTTTATCTGTTTCTAAGTTTATACCTTTTTTATACTGTATATTCTGCCAGGTCTAGAAGTTTTATGCTGATTATATGGAATTTTCTTTACACACAATCATGCAGCATGTGAATGGGCATAATTTGACTTTTTTTTTTCCCAAGCTCCATGCCTTTTCTTTCTCTCTCCTCACTACATTTTCTGGGGTAAACAGGTGTAGTGGGAAGCAATAATCAGGTGTTGTTTCCAGTTTTAGGAAAAAGCATTTAATCTTTAAGCAGGATGCCAGTTTAGATTTTTTTATTAATACCCTTTATCAACTTAGTGACATTCTTTTCTACTCATAATTTGTTGAGAATTTTTACAATGTTGGAAGACTTTTAAATCATTTTTTATTTGAATTTTGTTAAAGTTGTATGTACTTTATATATTTTAATTTTCTTCTGGTGTAAATTACTTTCTGTACCTCAAGGAAAGGGCCGTCAATATCTGTAGGGTCTGTCTTTAGTAAGGGCCACTTTTTCATTCAGATTATTAACAACTTGTGTCTTTTCTGTTTTTTTCTTTCTTGATCAGTCTGGTTAGATATTTTCAAGGAAACATATTTTGTTGTCATTGATTTCAAGGATTCCTCCTACTATCATAAAGTATATGATAACTTTCAGCAGCACTTTTCTTCAAAATAATGAATTAAAACTTCCCGCAAATGCTCTTTTTTTGGCCCGAAATTCGACATTTTTAAGTGTAAAAATATCTATGATGTTAACACCTTCAGAAAATTTCACATATGAAGTTTTGAAGCTTGTCAATATAACAAAATAGTGTACATATGAAATCGCATATATATCAACATATGTGTAACTCCGTTTATCGAAAAAATCCGCATTATTAACCGGTACACCTAGTAGCAGCAGATTGCCACATCATTAGCCTCGTACTAACTTGTTTGGTGTGAGCAACAGAAAATATTTCGCTTTTGGAGAACAAGACAAATAGGTTTATTTGTGTTACGCTTATTAATTTGTGCAGTTATTCAGTGTCTGCTTAAGTTAATTTTCAAGAAAAAATATTAATTTTTATTAAAATGTTTTATTATTTTATGTTAACGATTACTCATTTATTTCAGCCCTTTGTATTCAGCATGTCTCTATCGAAATAAATCTAAGTTTCTATGAAAATTGAAGCTTTTGGTTTTTTTGTGTGGCCCATATCAACTTAAACCTTGTTTATGTGGCCTGTATTACTGTTTGAGTTTGACATGCTTGACCCAGAGTGTTCTATAAATACCAATTAATTCAAGTTAATTGCTAATGTTATTTGGATCTTCAATATACTTACTGGTTGACTGCCTGCTTTCCTATTTTATTACTAAGTAGAAACTAACCAAGTATAGTTGTGAATATGTTGGGATTATTTCTCAGTTATACATATAAATTCCCTTAATTTTAAAACTTTTATTTTTAGGTTCACACATATTTAGGATCGCTATAACTTCTTGTTCAATTATCTCTTTTATGATAATGTCCATTTTAATCCTGCTATTTCCCTTGTTCTGGGGTCTACTTTTTCTGCCTTTGATACCAGCACTACAACTTTATTTTGAATGGTGTAAGCATGGTAAATATTTTCCCATGCTCTTACTTTTATAATCAATATAACTATTTAAAATGACTTTGTTTTAAATAACAATTGGGGTCTAGTTTTGGTGTGTTGTTTTAATTCAATCCCTGACTTTTAATTGTGCTTGTAAGTTCATACATATGTAAATTATTTGTAGGGTTGAATTTATATCTGCCATTTTATAATCGTTTGGTATTTTTATGAGTGTCTCTTTATGTCTGTTTATCTGCTTCTCCTTCCCTCTTTTGTATAATTTTGTTATTTATAATATCCAACTTTAATTTATCTATTGACCATTTGGTATATTTCTTTATCTTAACCTTATCTTGATTGTTCCAGGGATTATAATAAACATATAGCTAAATTTGTGCTAGTCTATATTTTGTCCAGAATTTATATTTTTCTATGGGAGAAGTGGTTTATTAGCTTATTCTGCTTTACCAGGGATGTTATTACATTTCTTTACTGTTAAAACTTTTCCTTGTTGAAAGATATGAAAGAATATTAAGCACCTATGGAAAGATACGGTAAGCATTTAAATGGAAAGATGAAGTATATTTGAGTTTGCTCTTCACTTAGCTAATATACGGTATAGGTCTACTCACTACATTAGATTTAAAAATAACATATTAGATGCTGGTGTACTGGTTATTTCCAGGAGAACACATTTTAAATATGAAAGGTGTTATTATTGAAATCTATTCAAATCTTTAACAGTTTATATAACACTAGAGGCCCGGTGCACGAAATTCATGCAAGGGGGGCAGGGAGGATATGTCCCTCAGCCGAGCCCGCACCCTCTCCAATCTGGGACCCCTCAAAAGATATCCAACTGCCCGGTATGAGATCAGGCCTAAATATGCAGTCAGACATCCCTCTCACAATTCAGGATTGCTGGCTCCCAACTGCTCGCCTGCCTGCCTACCTGATTGCCCCTAACAGCTTCTGCCTGACAGCCTGATAACCCCCTAACTATTCCTCTGCCAGCCTGATCAGCCCCTAACCACTTCCCTGCCGGCTTGATTGACGTCTAACTGCTCCCCTGCTGCCCGATCACCCCCAACTGCCCTCCCCTGCCGGCCTGGTCACCTCCCAC